CCTCTCATTCATGAAAATGTGGTTTCTCCCATTCTCATGTCCCTTGGGATGGGGAAAGCCAATTTGCTGTAAGAGAAAGCAGGGGTAAGAACTCACACTTTTCTCTCTGAGATTTCAATTTAAGATAGAACAGGCTGACCCTGAGATAGGTCACTAGGCCAAATGTAATATAAATACCCCGAAAGGGAACTTGCCATGAAGACAGAGACTGGGCTGGGACCTTGGCTTAATAGCAGGACCTAGAAGCCTGGCTCTGGCTCAAAGTCTGGATCTCATCACCTCTCCTAAGTCAGGACTAGGTGTAGATGAGGCTCTTCAGAGTTGGTTTCTCTCCTAAGGATAATTTCTTTTAGCCTGATCCCTGAATTCATTAGGGGCTGCACACTCACATTAGTCATGCTTTGGGGAGCATTTGCCGAGCTTTGTGTAAAGCTTTAAAAAGTCATAGTCTTGGATCCTAGTGTAGGAAACCACTACAGTAGTGGAAGGATCCTGATGAGCAATCAGCTAAAGAAATGATACCAAATGGCACCAACTAGAATGTCAGTGCACCGGTAGACTATAAGGTCTCCCTCCCCACCTAGAACTGGAAATAAGACTGTTCCTTCCTTGGCATTTTGGGGCAATTTAGGTCAGGGAAGAGAATAATATGTTGGGTTTAATTAAGCAATAAATGGAAAAGTAGACATGTGACTGTATCATTACCTCCAAGACAATGAGCATTGACTTTAATACCAGAAATGATGGGGTCAAGTTTGGCCATTTGATTACTAATTTAACTATTTTGTTTATTCTTTACCTCATTTCATGAAGGATTTAAGACTGAATTATGTATACTTACTCCTTCCCTTACTTGGTACTTTCAGCCCTTCTATTTGCAGTCGCCCATGATGGCCTTTCTTTAATTCCTCATACTGATCTATAAATAACTTTCATGTCAAGGCCCTTTCCTGGTCTGCTTTGGCTTGGTTCATTTCTCCTTTGGAGAAGCAATCCCAAGCCTCACCAGATTCAAGGGAAGGGACACACACCTCACCTTTCAATGGAAGGAAAGGGAAAGAATTTGTAGCATGTGTTAACGTTACCATAGTCCAACCTGTGACAACAAATTTTTTACATTTCCTTCACAATCAAATATACTGATACTCTCCCAAGGTCCTCCCACAGAAGTCTCGTCCAATTAAAGCATCAGACTCAGGCTCAAGGTCTGGATCTCATCACCTCACCTAAGTCAGGTCTAGGTGTAGATATAGCTTTCCACTGAATTCATTGGGCACATTTCCTGTTTCCCACATTACCATTGGCAACAGTGTGCCAAATATTTCACCACTGTGTAGCAAGGTGCCCTTCCCTCCTGCTTCCAATAGCATTTTTCCCCACTTTGCTTTAAACTCTCACGACAGTCTCCTCACAATCAATTGGGCTTCTGAACCTGGTTTCAAAACCATGCCATGTTTTAGGCTTTGTTAATCCAGGCACTAAATTGTGTTCTGCCTATCTATTGTTGCTGCACTCCCCACCCCAACCCAATCTACTGCCTTAATGCAGCCATTCTATTTTGCTATTGAGTTTGAAAGTGGGAGAATTGGGGAAGCCTCAGCTGGACCCCTTGGGGCCTCTCATGCAGTCACATGTTGACTGGGGCTTCAATCATCTGAAAGCCCTATGGGGCTGATAGTAATTATCTATTCCTGGGAGTTCAGCAGAGCCCGTTGACCAAGACCCTTACGCATGGCTTCTCCATCTGGCTTGGGCTGCTCAAAGCATGATGACATAGTTCTAACCTAGTTTTCATTAATTTACTTTTTTGTTAAGTTCCTATTGTCTCAACTAATAGTGATGATTATTCTAAAGAAAATTGAAAACCATGAAAACAAACTTGAGACCCTAACTCCAAGTGCTTCCTAATTAAACACAACAAGGAAATGACTCACTCAACTGGAAATCCATTTGAAAAGAAAAAAAAATTATTGAGTGTTAAAATAGTGCTGTTATTGTATATATAATGTTAGCACAAGGATAACAAGGGACAATTTGCATAAGAAATATTCCTATTCTTTTCCCTAGTTAGCAAACAATTGAATAGCAATTATCAGTGAAGTAGGATAAAAGAGGGCTATTATCATAAATGTTAGTTTGATCTTTCGAGGAGGTTTGATTGCCTTTTACCCACACTCCACCTCCCCCACACGAATCCAGGTTATGCTTTTCATCAGTCAAATGTCAAGTGCCTTTGTCACCTGCTAGCTGGCCATGTTCCACATAAAGGGCAAAAACAGCTTTCCTCAGGGGAATCTGTGAGAAACATAGCTCTCTTATGGTAAAGCAGGATGGAAGATAAGCCTAAGAAAGTCCTGATCTAACAAAACGGCCAAAGATGCCAAACACCTATACCATCAGTGAAACTGACTTGGCGTCATCTTTCCTCAGGTAAAGGTGTGTGTTCCTTTGTGTGAAAAAATTTGTCATGCTCCTGGTAACCTCGGCCAATCGTTTTCCTCCCTTCTTCTTTTTTTAAAATTTATCTTTATTGTTGAACGTCTTAGAGATGTTCCCTTTTTCCCCCATTGACCTCCTCTACCCCGCACTCCTGCCCCCAACCCCCCCACCCGCCAGCGTTTTCCTTCATTCTTCTTTCAGTCCAACATTGGACATAACCAAAGAGTTGAATTTATCTTAGAAACAAGCTCGTAAGGCTATTGTAGTTCAGGTAAAGAAAGCATATATATTTAGTAAATTTGGTGAGCCACTCATTTTCATCAGTGGCCTCAGGATTAGTTTGGTGAAATCACTAAATTAATCCAATATTGAACACAGTTTTGCATGAGGAACATATATCCTCTAATTTCCTCTTGTGGGTTAAGGCATTTTCAAACTGAATCTGGAGATCTTAAAGAAAAAAGTAAATTTCTTATCTTGCTCCAGGGGGAATGATGGAAGCATTCCCAGCCCTTCCCTCTTCTATCTGACAGGACAGGGAGTGGCAGTGGCTTTCCCAGCTCCACATAAGGACAGAAGGAATTTCTCTGTGGATTATAACAACTGGCTCTGAGATATGGAACAGAGACTTACTCAGTTATGCCATAACACCTCGTAAGATTCTGGGCACAGTCTGAGATCCTTATGAAGTTCCCATATGCATTCAAACTATAATAACCAATATTATGGGTTGCCATAGAAACAATAGAGTAAATAACATTTAAAAGCAATTTATTAAAATTCACAACCACACAGTAGCAAGCAAACTACTGTCTAATACTATTGTGTAGCATTATTGATGTAGCTGAATATTATTTCATTTACTTCTCACAATAGCCTTGCAAAGTAGATAGTGTTTCTATATTTGACAGATAAAAAAACTGAGGTTAAGAAACTAGCCCAAGTCTACCAAATAATCTGAGAAAACCCTACATCTGCTTGACTCCAAATCTTCTCTCTCTTATGCAATAAAACTCAATTCTATGGCAAAAAGTAAAGACAAACAAAAAAATTACATAAACAAGAAAGAAGTGTCCCACAGTTAGAGAAACTAAAATTCCTTTAGTTGTACAATATGAAAATTCATTTTATTATAACACTCAATTTAGGGATGGTGTATTGCGCTACAACTACATTGATATTTAGATGTTAAAATAGTTTAAAGAAATACCAAAGGAATCTTCTAAAGGCCTTAGAGTCCATTAGTTTTCTGATTTGTGCTCCTTCAGTCCTTTCTCTCTCCTTATCTTCCTGCCTTACTTTCTGAATTCTCCAATTCTAAGTAGTTTTTGCATGGTATTACTGAGATAATCTTCTGGAAATTACTTTCAATTGCCTTTCTCTAAGAATTTCCCTTATTGGAAGATAAAGCTGAAAAACAGGGAAGAGTATTTTCCATTGTTCCCTAGGTAGGCCCAGTCTTCTTTCTGCTAATACATTCTATCCATATTAGGTGCAGGCATTAGTTGTTGGGGCTAGAAGCTATTATCTTCTATAGCTCCTACCCTAATAATAATATATTAAAATTTTCTAGGTCAACATCTAAAGGACAGGACTTCGAGTCTCACAGGGCGGAGGCAGTGGGGGAGAGAATCTGATAAATTCACATGCAATTCCAAAACCCTTTAACAGAAAATATTCATACCAGTTCCTTTGGTAGCTTTTTAAAAATCCAAATAAAGAATCTCTGTATTTTTCCCCTCATTTTCACTTTCATAGAAAATTCTTTAACCTAGCAATAAACAACAGGATCTCTTTCTGGTACTCAGAGACAACAGGACTTCTTACATGTCAATGCATTATCTGATAAAATTCTTTTTGCTTTTTGCTTTTTTATTCCCCTACATGACCTTTAGATTTATTTCATCATATCACAAAATAGTTCTCTTTGAAAGAAGACTGAAATTACATTAAATATCTTTATCACTTTGTTTTACATCTCAGACTCCCCTTTTTATTCCTGTTTCCGTACTACACAGTCCTCACTCCAGATCCATGGCGGACTGCTTGCTGGACCCCCAAATGACCAAAACCCACCCATGCTCAAGTCCTGTGTATAAAATGGGGTAGTATTTGTATATAACCTACGCATATTCTCTCACATTCTGGTAAAATTCTTAATAATTGCTCCTCTTTAACTTTCTTATTTAAAAAGTTTATATATTAATTAAACTGATCTAGGTCCTAGTTCTTAGCAGTAAACAGTAACATGAACATAATTAGCAGCTTAATAGAATTTCAAAACTAAGAATGATTAAGAAGAAACCATAAGCTTTTTCTTCCTTCTTTATACTGTATTTACTTAACTATTTGGGGCTTTCCTTGGAATACAATACTTTGTGTTTATTTTTCATTGCGCCTGCTACCCTGTGAGTCCTGGTGAGCCGCATTCCCCCCAAGAAAAGACAACCATCAATAAAAAGATGGCTTTGGGGAAAAATGATTAGTGTTAAAAAGTGTGACATTGACTTAGTTATTCCATTAGCGAACGTTAAATATCTTCTATACCTGTATTTACTCACCTATAAGTCCTAAAAAAATGTAGCCAGTAATGAACACTATGAAGACCATGCAGCACAGAACATCCGTACAACTCCTAAAGACAAAAAAGAAGTCAGAATTAAAAGGGGTTCCAAGCAGAGCGGTGAAGGCCTGGGAGGGGGGTGTGGTGGTGCAGGGGTCCATGAGGGGAAAAAGAGGGCAGCTGTAATACTTTCAACAGTAAAGATAAAATTTAAAAAAGAAACTTTAAAAAAAAGGGGGATCCAAGGTGACTTCTTGTTTTCTGAACAAAATATAATGATACGCCATTTTATATCGAATAATTCTGAAAGGCAGATCACATGTATTTCTGCAATCAAAGCAGCAATAAAGGGTCCTAATTCCATGACTAAGAGGCTCCCCAGAATTCTTAGTGTTTATTCTTTCTTAGTTTTTATTTGTAAAAAATTTTTTTAGGGTTGAGAGTATACCAACATCGAGTAACAATTTTTTATTTGAAATTGTAATTTAAACTATTTGATTTTATGACTTTTCTCTTCATGCCCCCCCACACACATGGCGTATATACAGGGTGTTCCCCCAAGAATGTACACACATACTTTCAGAAATTATAAAGGAAGTGTTTATTAAAATTCATTTTCATTTAATGGCTATCAGCTGTTAAAGTGTATATACATTTTAGGGGACACCCTATATGTTAAAAAATCAGCTGTTTTCTTTTCCTTCCTTTCTCTATTTTCTTTCTATATACTCACTTTAAGGGTACTGTTAATTAAATAAAGGCTAACTACATAAACTTTCTATGGCAAGTGGAGTTGCAACTATTCTGATAACTCAGAACTGTAAATTTCCCAGCTCTCCTATCAGCTCGATATCATTAAATTAGGTTTAGAGAAAATGTGGCTCAAAGAGGTGCAGTGACTTGCTAAGGTCACAAGTCAAGCCAGGATCCAGCAGAGACACTCAAGGTTTTCAATGAAAGTGTTTCCTATTCTCAATGTTATAGCTTGTTCAGCTTCTAAGCTGTCTGGCAGGTAAAAGCTATGTCTTAAAAGTGGGAAACAATACAACCATTCTCTATTTGAAACTTAATGAAGAATCTATTAGCAAAGAAAAAAAAATCAACCTATTTGACAGGATTAAAAGTTGCACATGAGAATTTTCCCTAGCAAAAACTTGCTCTTCAGGGCAAAAAAAAAAAAAAAAGCTCTAATCATTTAGCACAAGCAGGTGGAAGTTGCACACTATTTTTAGTGGTGGTAGTAATAATAATGAATAATAATTGCACAGTAACAGACACAGTGATACCTTACATTGATTAAACCCTGTTTTACCTTCACAGCTTTCCCTGCGAATATTCTAAGAATACCATTAGTTTGTTTGTGGTAGTAACGTGAGTTGACTTACCTAAGGTCCAAGAGAGAGAAGTAGTTACAGAGGCAGGCAAATATCTAGGTCTTAATGCCAGACCTTTTTTATTTAGTAGTTATGTTAATATGATTACAGTTTTTTGTGAAGATTCAAATTCACCACATCTTAAATGCCACACACACACATCCCTCCTACCTCGCAATAGGAAACGCACCTGTCACAGAGAAAGTTAATCATGGCAATGCAGACACAAACTATCACTTGTTTAAATCCAATGTCAACCCAGGAATTTTAAAATCCATTTGGAATAATAATAAAAAGAGAAGAAAAGAGAGCTCTAGTTTTCTTTGGTTAACAACCGTTGAAAGCAAAAATCTCATTATTTACAGTAGCCAAGATTTGGAAGCAGCCCAAGTAGAGGAGTGGATAAAAAAGCTGTGGTACATTTACACAATGGACTACTACTCAGCTGTAAAAAAGAAAGAAATCTTACCCTTTGGGACAGCATGGAGGGATCTGGAGAACATCATGCAGAGGGAAATAGGCCAGTCAGAAAAAGGCAAATACCATATGATTTCACTCGTATGTGGAATCCAATGAACAAAATGAACTAACAAGCAAAACAGAGACAGACTCAGAGATAGAGAGCAGGCTGACGGCTGTTGGTGGTGGGCAGGGTAGGGGAGAGTGGAGGGACTGAGCAAAAGAGAAAAAATTCATGGATACAGTTAGTAGTGTGGTGATGGCCAGCGGAAGGGAGGGAGGTGGGGGAGTT